ATTTTCTTCTGCACAAAAAGCATAAAATAAACGGCAAAAAAAATCTTGAAAAACTTTTTGGAATTCAAATCGATCGATAGATCGATATCGTTTTTGATAGAATGCTTCTGCGGAGACGAACGCAAAGTCAAAACTCAAAAAAAAAAACTGTACTAAAGCCACATATGTTCGCTAACATTCAAAGTTCCAATGCACACCAAAGGCCGCTAATCTAATAACGTTGAAAAAAGAAATAAAATAAAATAAAATAAAATAAAAAAAAATGGGCAAGAAAGAAAGATTCGTTATAGCCGTCCGCGAATTAAAAGTATTAATAAAGAATATTAATATAGAAAATTCCATTGAGATACAGAGAATTTAATTTAAAAAAAAAAAAAAAAAAAAAAAAAAAAAAAAATATTCGCGAATGGCCTTCAGAGGCTGCTGTTTCTTCTCACTTCCGTGAAACTTAACGTAACAATAGTTCTGCCTCATGCAACGGGAGCAATCAGCATACGATAGAAAAATAGTAATAAGGAGCTACGCGCTTAGATGTCCATTTGGCTCACTGTGAAAAAGCATTACAATACTAAATGTACGTTACACGATACAACAATGGCAGTGTGATTAATATTGATTACTTCGAATGAGCTTAAGCTTACGGCACCATCACCCTGTAGAAATATAGAGGAAACAACGTGTCTCCGCACCAATCATATTTATGCTTGAATATCAATGAATAAATAACTAGATGCTCACTTTTTTTTTTCTAATTTAACTAAAATATAGCAGCTTTAAAGGAAAAAAAAATACCATATAAATACAATGCAGCAAATATCTCTTTTTTTCTTTTTCTTTTTTTAAATATATTAATTTTTACCTACACGGGTTTTTTTGAAGACCCAAGAATTGAACTTTTTTTTCATCTTTCGAATCGTTTTAGAATTTTTTTTTTTTTTTTTTTTCATCATCGAAAAGAATAACATTGATATCTAGAATTATTATACGCGAACAATAAAACATATTACATTTACATGGTTATTTGCAGTTAATACAATATAGAAAAATAAATAAAATTAGTTTTATGCATAAAAATATGACGGTAAATAGATCGTATGGGACGCATTTAATTAAAGAATTTCTATTTTTCGAGACTGTATCTCTGGTTTTGTAGCGATAATATTAGACTAACTGATACAGTTACATAAAAAGGCAAAAGTTGCATTTATTAATTTATAAGTTGCCACTGAGTGTAAAACTTGAATAAAATAAGCATACTATGATATCATATCATGAAAATTTATCAAGAATCTTCGATATACCAAAAAAATATTCCATTTCTATTAAAACATGATTAGAAGAGAGATGTAATAATAAGAAATTCCAATTTTTCTCTGATTAACGTTCAATAATTCATGCCACGATTATTTCTGCGGCTCTAAATATATAAAAAAAAAAAAAATATAGATAAAAATAAATAAAAAAATAAGAGAAAAAAAATTATTGAAATACGAATAATCACGCTTAACAAATCAAACAAATTGGTGGCTTTATCACACTTTTCTAACGTGTATTCTTTATACGTGCACGGAAGACTGATCAATCGTACAAAATTTTCTTATAAACGTCTATATTCGCGAATATAGAGGACTTAGAGAACTTACTCATCGAAATTTAAAATATCTACTCGTATTCGATTAAATAAAATTGTAAGAAAAAAAAAAAAACAACAATTAGAGAAAAGGAAGGCACGTAATATATTTGTCTCCAAAAAAATATTATTTCTCGATACGTAATACGATACGATATACACGGATATTCTCATGGATACCTCTACTAAACTTAAATAGACAATTAAATAAATATAATGACGTTGAAAGAGTGACGCATGCAAAAAGAGAGCGCTAAAATATCCTCTACAAGTTTTACGCTCAGTGCGTAGAGAGAGAAAAAAAAAAAGTACTCATTAAACATGTCGTGCACAATAAGTTTTGAAGCCAAGCGAAGAAGGGAAGACATAGCATACAAAATCAAAATGAAAATAAATTTGAAAAAAAAAAGAAAATAAATAAATAGATAAAAAAAAATTGTATATATAAAGAGAAAGAGAGATAAGTAAATAAGTATATATGTATATATAAATATATAATATATACGTATACGTAAAAGTAATTGTCGGAAGGGTCTTACCCTGGAGGACGAGGGGGCACTTCCGGTACTCCCAATGGCCCAGCTCTTGGCAGGGCCATCGCTAACCACAGCCTCACCTAGTTAGGACATTGTAACAGTAGGCGTTACCACCAGTCTTTTTATTAGAAGTAATTTGCATTTTCTTACAAGAAGCGGGCGTAATCGTGTTTGTGTGTCGGGCACACCTTTCAATCCTGTACACATATACGTAGTAGACACACAGATAGCTATTTTGTTCTCACGCACACGAGAGATAAAAAAGTTTTATAAAACGACCGATGTTTCAATCTTTCGATTCAATATTTTTAATCCGCGAAAAAGAATAACTTTTATCCGAAACTCTCGATAAAAAAAGAAAGTAAAAAAGTAATTCTATTCTATTCATTTACTGCTTAAATAATCCCTGCATTCATTTTCCTATAATAAAATTTAATTCAACGATATATAATTAATAATAATCAAATACGTCCTTATTTACAAAGATTATTGTTTACAGATTAAGTTACTTATTTTTTTCTAAAAAAAAAAAAAAAAAAAAAAAGTAAAAAAAAAATTGAACGTATATAAATAAATTTGATTCGAAAATAATTTTTATTTATAATATATGCAGGATACCTGTAATACTTTTTCACAGTTTCCATTAATACACGCGTTATTTACAACGTGTAGAAATAATAATGAAAAATCGGTGAACATTGTGAAGCGGAACGAAATGAAAACTAATCAATTTTTTTTGTTAGTATGGAGAAAACCAACGAGGATCGTTAAGGATCGAAAAATGAGTTCCTCCAGAAATAAAATAATCGAACTGATCACGCGCACGCCGTTTCGATTATTATAACGATCAAAAATTTCTAAGAAGAAAAAGAGATTAAGCGGGGAAATAATATCTTTTCCATTCCTTCTCGTCAGACACACGAATTTCAAAAGGGAAAACGAATCTCCACTTTCGATCGACGTACCTGCAGAAGACATTTCAAACGTTAAACCGAGTGCTTCGAGATCATCTTGCGATACTTGTCCGGATAGGTTGTTCTGAATGTTGTTAGGTATCCTTTGTTGCTGCTGTTGTTGCGTTCGCGCCCCAACGATCGCTCTTCTCAATTCTTGCCTTACAAATTCCGAAGTACTGCTAGCGTTTCCTGTCACAAAATCAAGTAAAATTCGTTATATATTTTAATACATATCGCGCGTAATACATCACGATTTATATTTTATTTTATATCTTTCTGTTTTTTTTTCTTTTTAATTTTTTTTTTTTCTTTACTTTTCTTTAATAACAAATCAATGGTAATAATAAGTTAAGTAAAGAAGTAGTTACTTATAGATCGTGTATTATCGTGCAAGCCATAACGTAAAAGTTAGTCAAAGGTATAGGATGAATGTTTTATTACAAAATGCGATATATATATATATACAATATTGCGTTGACATAAGTTCGATAAAATGACTTATCCTGTAATTAATCGGTCTTTGGCCCATCCATTAGTGGATATTTTATCACGATTTTCTACCACGAAATATTTCTTGATAGGAGAAAAGATAGGAAAAAGAAACAAAAAGAAAAAGTAAAAGTAATTGACAAAAAATGAGACAAAATTTCGTTCTCAAAAAAGAAGCATCGTATAAAAGTTTTGATCTTCCTTTTTCTCTTTTTTTTTTTTCTTCCTAATTTAACATTACACGTATAAGATGAACATTTAACGTAAATTGTGTTTAACGATGCTTATTGCACACTGCGTTTAGTAACGATGATTAATCACAAAAAGCTCGATGCACTGTACATGAAAATGCGTCGTAGTTTTGTTAGTAACGAATCTTAGTTTCGTTATTTAAAAACATACGTAATAATCCTAAGAACCATGGATTCACGTTTATTTTTTAATTATATGATACCGGATGAACATTGAATGGAAATTGGAGAATGATCAAGATAACTAAATGCTTTAAGTTTCCATTATATAGTTATATAGTTTTCAGTTCGTTAACAATGTCGATATTTAATTTATTAATAATTCTATATACGATCGTTAGGACTTATTTTATAATTCTATTTTTTGTAAAAAAAAAAAAAACAAAGAAAGAAAGAAAAAGAATAAAATAAAAATTCATAATAAAAAATTTTACAAAACAATTTGTAAATAAATTTCTTTATAAAATCTTATAATTTGCAAATTGTGGAATAATTAATATTGCAAAAAGCAAAAATCTGCTAATATCGATAAATATTAAAAAAAAATAATAATAAAATAGAATAAAAGCAAAAAGAGAAGAGAAATAATGGATTAATTAAACTCCAATTATAAAATTACGCAACATATAACATGTACATGAATAATATAAACACATAAAAATAATTCACATGGATAAAAATCGTGAATGGATCGAAGATTGATGAGAAACATAAATAGAAGAAAAACGAAGCGTGATATAACAAGCGTTGAAAATTATGAGTAATAATTCTTTTAAGTCGATATAAATTACATCGATATATGCGAAATTAATTTATATTAGTTAGAAAACATATTTTCGTAATATGATAAATATCTTTATAATTTAACAAATCGATAAACAAACACCGTTTTTGATATTGTTTAATTAATAATCATTCAATAAAAAAGAAAAAAGAAACATATTTTACATACTTTTAAAATCTATAAACGACATATCGATATATTTTTAATTTTACCAATATAAAAAATTCATTCTTACGATATGGAGCAATATATTAGTTGTAACACAAATTTTATAAACGTGGTGCAAGTGACAGTGACGCTAATTTACATGGTCCGGAAGTGCCGGAGGTAATCACTAAATAGTGCAAGTACGTTCTGAACCGGAAGTGGGCAAATGAAAATTTCCAATAATTTTATTCCTCCTTCTAAATAATCTTGTTTTATAATTCGTTATGAAAATAGGACATTTTCCAATCAGGATCGATATTTTTTCTTCATTTTTTTTTTTTTTTTTTTT